ATTCTGACTGAATTCTGACAATAAAAAAGTCACAAATTCTGAGATTAAAGTCAGAATTCTGAGAAAAAAGTCGGAATTCTGAAAAAAATGGCAGAATTCTGAGATTAAAGTCAAAATTTTGAGAAAAAAGTCGGAATTCTGAAAAAAATGGCAGAATTCTGAGATTAAAGTCAGAATTTTGAGAAAAAAGTCAGAATTCTGAAAAAATGTCAGAATTCTAAGATTAAAGTTCTGAGATTAATCTCAGAATTCTGACTGAATTCTGACAATAAAAAAAGTCACAAATTCTGAGATGAAAGTCAGAATTTTGAGAAAAAACTCAGAATAAAAAAAAAAAATGGCAGAATTCTGAGATTAAAGTCAGAATTCTGAGAAAAACGTCAGAATTCTGACTTTTTTCATTCTGTCTTTTTTCCCATACTTAACTGAAATAAAATTAAAAAATCAGTGAACTTTTTTTTTTTTTTCCACTGGCCCTAATCGTCTTCCGTACGTTTTAGGCTACTATGGAAGGTAAAATGTCAAACTTCCTGTTCACTCAGCAGCAGTTCTCCTCTCTCTATAAACCTCTGAGCAATCTAACAATGTTCTGCAGTGAGCCGGAACACTGTACTTGCAAGTTAAATATTTAGTTTGTTAAATAAACATTTAGCCACAAAATAAATATTTAGTTTGTTAAATAAAATATTTAATTTGTTAAATAAATATTTTGTTTTTTAATTGCTGCTCTCTTACATTTGTACTTTCCTTCCACAGTGAAGCACGGCTTTTCTGCCCTGAGATCCAACCATCAGCTGTTGCTCTCTGTTCCTTTTTGCTGCACAGAACTAGAGTAGAAAACCTTTAGCTACGCAGATACTTGTGCGTGGAATATTTTACAAAGAAACTGGAAGTTAACTGAGTTTTTACCTTTAAATACTTTTAAGTTAAAAGTAAAAGATTTTGAAGCAGCCTCAATGATCTGTAATTGTTTTACTTGATATGTTTTTATGTACTTGTCATGTAATTTAATGTATCTCTGTTTATTATCTAACTTTACTGCCTCTTTGCCAGGACTCCATTGGAAAAGAGGTTTTTAATCTCAATGGAAGTTTTTTTCTGATGTCAAAGTTTTACACTTACTGTAAAGGTTCTTATTCTTACTTTTTCCTCCTTAGTTTTATATTTCTACCCTTATTTCTGCTGCACGCTTGCATATGGCTGCAGAAATACCAAACTCTCCCACTGCTTCATACGTTACCCCCACTAGGTGGACAGGTAGAGGAACGACTGCTGTTTTCATTTTGTTGTCAGACAAGTTTTCAACGTCACTCTCAGCGTTTATATATTTCTAAGGAACTAAAGCAACAAGGCTGTTTGACATTTATTGGATCATTTGACACAGCAAGCAGCTCTGACCTGGAAAAAAGGCTTCTCCTGTTGTTAATGCAAGACTTGTACGAGGAAACTATCTGTAAATCAGCTTCAGAAGGTAAGGCTCAATTTTTAACACTGAATGCAGGAGGAATATGTTGCTTTGTTAATTTAATGACTAAAAAAGCCTCATAAATAGTAAAAAAAAATAATAAAGTAAAATGCTTTTTATTCTTAATCTGAATCTTTCTCCATGCAAAGTTGCCTTTGCAGCCTTTTTTAGAATCACATGAGTAAAAATCTTCGCCTCCATGACTGAATAAACTAGAATTTCACAGTATGTGTTACTTGTTGCTTATTGCAAAGGAGTGAAGGCATGATTAGCAGCTTTGTTTTAGCTTATTGTTTCTTAAATACTTTGTAATAATGAACACAGCATCATTCACTAAATAAAATCACAGTTAATTAAAAAAACTTCCTCAGATTCTAAAGTTAGGTCTCACTCTGGAATATTATACATGGAAAGAAANGAGATCCAACCATCAGCTGTTGCTCTCTGTTCCTTTTTGCTGCACAGAACTAGAGTAGAAAACCTTTAGCTACGCAGATACTTGTGCGTGGAATATTTTACAAAGAAACTGGAAGTTAACTGAGTTTTTACCTTTAAATACTTTTAAGTTAAAAGTAAAAGATTTTGAAGCAGCCTCAATGATCTGTAATTGTTTTACTTGATATGTTTTTATGTACTTGTCATGTAATTTAATGTATCTCTGTTTATTATCTAACTTTACTGCCTCTTTGCCAGGACTCCATTGGAAAAGAGGTTTTTAATCTCAATGGAAGTTTTTTTCTGATGTCAAAGTTTTACACTTACTGTAAAGGTTCTTATTCTTACTTTTTCCTCCTTAGTTTTATATTTCTACCCTTATTTCTGCTGCACGCTTGCATATGGCTGCAGAAATACCAAACTCTCCCACTGCTTCATACGTTACCCCCACTAGGTGGACAGGTAGAGGAACGACTGCTGTTTTCATTTTGTTGTCAGACAAGTTTTCAACGTCACTCTCAGCGTTTATATATTTCTAAGGAACTAAAGCAACAAGGCTGTTTGACATTTATTGGATCATTTGACACAGCAAGCAGCTCTGACCTGGAAAAAAGGCTTCTCCTGTTGTTAATGCAAGACTTGTACGAGGAAACTATCTGTAAATCAGCTTCAGAAGGTAAGGCTCAATTTTTAACACTGAATGCAGGAGGAATATGTTGCTTTGTTAATTTAATGACTAAAAAAGCCTCATAAATAGTAAAAAAAAATAATAAAGTAAAATGCTTTTTATTCTTAATCTGAATCTTTCTCCATGCAAAGTTGCCTTTGCAGCCTTTTTTAGAATCACATGAGTAAAAATCTTCGCCTCCATGACTGAATAAACTAGAATTTCACAGTATGTGTTACTTGTTGCTTATTGCAAAGGAGTGAAGGCATGATTAGCAGCTTTGTTTTAGCTTATTGTTTCTTAAATACTTTGTAATAATGAACACAGCATCATTCACTAAATAAAATCACAGTTAATTAAAAAAACTTCCTCAGATTCTAAAGTTAGGTCTCACTCTGGAATATTATACATGGAAAGAAACAAGTGTACTCTAGATTTTTTTTTACTGAATATTTGGTTGCTGGAAACCGGCGAAAGGTACGGAAGAGGATTTGGGCCACTGGAAAAAAAAAAGTTAACTGATTTTTTAATTTTATTACAGTTTAGTATGGGAAAAAAGTCAGAATTCTGACTTTAATCTCAGAATTCTGACTTTTTTCTCAGAATTCTGACAGCTAACAAACATGTTAGCATCAAGCCATAGCCATGTCTGTTTTAGAGACTAGCTCTCTTGTTTTAATGACCTTCTGCTCCTCTAGTAATGAGGGGACCCCTCGGGCACGTAAAAAGTCACCTCAAACAACTCACATCTTTGTCAGTGAAGCTGAGTGCTCTACATCTCTTCCTTCATGGTGCTCATCTACATTAAGATCCAAAATTCTGAGAAAAAAGTCAGAATTCTGAGAGAAAAGTCAGAACTCTGAGATTAAAGTCAGAATTCTGGGATTAAAGTCAGAATTCTGAGATTAAAGTCAGAATTCGTAGAAAAAAGTCAGAATTCTGAGAAAAAGTCAGAATTCTGAGATTAAATTCCAAATTTAATCTCAGAATTCTTTCCAATTTTTCCAATACTAAATTGAAATAAAAACTTTTTTTTTCCAGTGGCCCTAATCCTCTTCCGTAGAAAGGAACCCAAAGGAAAATCGTTTGGAAGAATTTTATCAGTACTGAAGCTCGTTTTTCTGAGCTTTGGATTTAGCGTCATGTTTGGTTTCTCTCTAAAAATCTCACCTTTTTGCTGCTGATCCTGGAAGACAGAGATGCACATTTCTGCAGACAAACAGCTCACTCTAACTTCAAAAACTTCTGCTTAATGTTTTCTTTACTAAATCATGCCGTTCTTTGTATAACAGTGCCGCATAGACAGCGTTTAACTCTAAAGAATTCGCCCTGCATACACCTGTCATCAACGACAACAACTCAACAGAAAAACAAACAAACTATGACTTAGTGCAAGATTTAATTTCCCTTTGGGGTTAATAAAGAATTTTTGAATATCTTACAGACAACTCATAAAACGTCTGAAATGTATTTCACTAAAAGGTAGTTCAATCTGAAAAACTCCCAGGGAGAGAAAAAGACAATTAGAAGAGTTTTATTGACACAATTACTTTAGATTTACTGTAGGCGCTCAGATGGAGTTGGTCAGTCTGTAGACTGCTGGTTGGAGAGACGGTCTGCTGAGCTTTATGGGGAGATCCAGTGGACTGCGTCAGCTGATACTAGAGATTCATTCAGGGACCTGGAAGATGGAAGTCCAGCTTGGATAACACAGGTTGAGAGAACCTGTCAATGATGAGCAAGCATGAAGCGACAGTGGAAAGGAAAAACTCCCCAGGCACAACATGGATCGGTTGAGATGAGACAGGGAACGCAGTAAGAATCCGGGAGGAATGACACTGTTGAAGCTTTAGCCAGGATGGTGGAGGAGGAGCGGGTTGAAACGGGGTCATCTAAATCGAAGTCCGACATAGCGCGATCGGCGCCTGCGCTTTGGGTGGCAGACTGAGATGTGGAGTGGAGACCTTTTAAGATGAACTATGGATGTTGATGGGCTTTCATGGAGGTGTGGTTCAAAGCTGATTAGCTGGTGTCAGAGGCCGGATTACCAGAGAAAACAGTCAAGTAAAAGAGGAAATAACCGGTTACATTTCTAATTTATGAGAAACGCCATCTTCAGGCACAAACAAGATCCAGTAAAATATTTTGGGCTTCTGGTGGTTAGGAATTAGTCCAGAGGTGAACTAAGCTGGTAAAGATTCTCAGTCATTCAGGTCAGAGTCATTCCAATGAAGTTAAAAAAAACAATCCACTGGACTTTGTTTACAAGTTTGAAGATGTTTCGTTTCCCATCCAGGAAGCTTTTTCAATTCAAAATGTCAGAATTACCGTTGTGTTCGAGGCTCTATAGAGTGGACCAAAAACAAAGCCTTGTTTTGGCTTAGAAAACATACAAAATGAACCGGACAAAATGATCCACCCAAAGAAGCAAAACAACCCCCATTCCAAAGGGGCGGAACCGTTCTTCACCTTATGTCGGACTTCAATTCATGGAAGTGATTTTATTATCATTTACCCCATTTACACTACCCTTGAAAAACCGATCCATGCCGAGACCGGTCCGAGCTCGGATCAGTTAACCGGGCCGAGCTCGGTTCTGACGACCGTTTCCACGTCACGCTATCTCGGTTCATCGACTCCTCGCCTCCTAGTGACGATCTGCGGTATTACTGCCGGCATTGAAGGAGGAAATCAAGCAGTTTGTAGCGGTAATGCACCAAAAGTTGTTTGCCAACCACCATAAAACACAAGAAGAAGAAGAGGGGAATCAAGCAAATAAAAATGGCGGCGCCCGTCACATTCAGAAAGTTATGCTTGATTATTATTGCTGTACTTTGGTGTTATTATCTAAAATGTTGTGTGGAGAAGATTTCGATTGTTGTTTATAGTTGTTCTTCTTCTTCTGTTTTGCATTGGTTGGCAAGCAACTTCCGGAGGGGCATTACCGCCAACTACTGGAATGGAGTGTGAATCG